CGGTTAAGGTGTAGCAAAAATTTTTGGTTTCGAACTTTTTATTTTATTGGGAAGGTCAACAAACCCTGAGACCAAAAAAATTTTTCTTTGATAAAAGCCCCCCTTCTTTTATGGGGGGGGGTTCCTTTGGGGCCCCCCCCCCCCCCCCCCCCCCCCCCCAAACGAATCAGGATCAACGGCGAAGCCACTTTCGTCGAGAACGGCAGAAGCTTCGACGGCCACAGCGGGGGTGGTTTCAGCAACACGGACGGAGGAACTGCCATGTGCGACAGACACCAGATTTTGACGAAATTGGTTGCCGCAATGCCTAGTTGCTGCTGAGTGGATGTGCGCGTTTGGGTTCTGAGGGGGGATGGTTTGTTACATAGTGTTTACTGCCGATGTTCCTTGTTACTGGGGTTTTGACGTGTTGTGCTGCATCCATTGCATTTTCTAAAGGCGTATTTTTATTGGTAGTATTAGCAACCGAAATCGAATCAAGTAGCCCTCTGGCAGCCCTTGGCTGCTCTTGCTTGCTCTGATTTCGTTTGGTACTTGTTGGAAACACCCACAAGTACAGCCGTGTTGCCGACGACACACCCATGAATGTTCATGCTTCAAAGCCGGCGTATATCTGACCCCCCCATGGTCACTGGTCTAACCGCTCAGGAATGCAAAACGTAAGAGTACGCCCTCCCCCCCCCCCCAACCACCACCACGCCTCCGTTTGTTCTGCGCAGCTTCCGTGGCCCCGCTCTGTTCAGCAGCAACGCATGCGACGAGAGTGGCGGTGGAGTGTACAACGGAGAAGGCTCCAAGATGACGTGAGGTTCTCCGTACTGGTTGTAAAATAGTCTGCTGTCTGCTCAGAAGGAAAAAGTGACGTAATATTATTGATACATTTTTTTTTTTCAGGCAGTTGTGGCGAGGACGATGTTCGAGATCGAAAGTAATATGCACGTCTACCCTGGGTGCAAGAAGAAGTAGCCGCCGAGCCATGAAGAAGACTCGATTCTCAGTAGACGAGGAGCGTTCGCATCCGCAAGAGGTACTCGATTCATTCCACATCATTTGCCGAGACCGCATCATCATCGCCCCGAGACCTTCGACTGCTGTTTCTTCTCCGCCAAAAAATATTTGTTCGCGCCAACGCGCGGTCCGTCATGTTCACGCGCACAACGCGCCCTTTGGATTGGGTCATGCTCACAAACAAACGCGCCGTTGATGCGTTTAGGTTCTACCAAAAGACCGGTTTGTACGACAACTGGAGCAAGGACGGGAACGGCGGTGGCATGGACAACCGCGGTGAACTCAAGTGAGAAGGGAATGCTGTCAGACTACTGTTGGGATGTACATTTGAGACTGCTACATACAGTAGTAGATCAAATAGGGCATGGGGAAGAAGAGTACTCTGATCAGTATCCTACCACGTCGCGGGTAAAATAAAACACCCATATTCCTCTCTTTTTGGTAGTGAAGAGCCAGGCCGCCTGCCTGCTCTCGCGTCCCGGAAACATCTTTTTTCGTGGATCGACCACACTCCCTCGTCAGCTCACGTACGGAGAAAAAAGGCGCCAGCCTTCTTCCCATATATCGTAGATCGAAGACTGAGACGGCAACACGCGTGCGTATGCTACGTGCTTGTGCGTTCGGAACGTTGCAGGTTCAGGGGGGCGGTGTGGGCTACCGGAAACAGGTGCGCGGAGAGCGGCGGCGGGATCTCCACCGGCAACGGAGGAACCACCACGTGAGCTAAAAAAAATGACGACATTTGCTTGAGCACCGTTTTTGTCTGTGCTGCGAGGTCTTGCTTTGGGATTTCTCAGGGAGGAGTGTTAGGCGTCAACCACGCCATCGACATGTGTGTGCACACTACATGCATTTATGCATGAAGTATGTATTGTTGAGGTAGAGGGCCAAGCGGCGAGCGGCACTCTGCGGCTACTATAACACACGAAAACTCTCTTCGTTTCTCGTTCGCGAAAAAAACAAACTTTTGAGCGTCCCTGTCTCCTTCCACCCCTTCCATCCCCTTTGCTCGTGGAAGCTTGTTTCTCGTTCACGAAATCTTGACGTTTTGTGCGTCTGTCTGCGTTCCCCCTCTTCCTTTGTTGTTGGTGTCCTGAAGGTTCTACGGGTGGGTTACGATCCAGTCCAACGACGCTGGAACGACCGGTGGAGGAATGAGCACGTACGTCGTTGGCTCCAGGTGAGGATAGAGGATATCAACGGCTATCTCACCCAGCAACGGCTATATGACCGAGATGACAGTGTTCCTGACCGTAGAGGGACATCGCCTCCGCCACCCGGATCAAGACAAGAAAACAAGCAACAACAGGAGAGCTGCATCAACGTAGAACATGACACACTGCTGCTGTCTTGTGTGTGTGTGTTGCCCACATGCCGTTTTGGAGTCAGCCCTCTCTCGAAGTGTCGCTGTCAAAAAAGACGCCTCCCTCCTTCTTAGGGGGCATGGGTTTTGGGTGGTCAAACTTGCGCCGGGCATTACACGAAGCGTGACGTTTGGCACATCGTGAAGGGCCCAAGAACTTTTGAGCTCCGGTTTGACCGCAACAACGGTCACCCACCCCTCTCGCTCCTTTTCTCGGCCAACCTCGCCCCCCCCCCCCCCCCCCCCTTTTTTTTCC